AAAGCTGATCGATAAGGATAAGAGGTTCCTTTATTCTGTTTCAAATTGAAAGATGAAATACTTTGTGTAAATGAAATAGCGTAATTGAAAGCAACATTCCCCACGGAACCAAGGGACTGTTGTGACTAGATAGGGAAACCCGATCCTCATATCAGATATATTGTCCCTAAGAAACCAGTTCTTTGTATTAAAGCACTAACTGGTCCATACGTCCAGGCATAGCATCAACTTTTAAACCTATAGAATGAACAGTGAACAGGCATAATCCATTGATATGGATGTCGATAACGGATAAAAGTTACCCACAGCCATTGCTCAAGAAGAGTGTGAAACTTCCCACCCATTTTTCAATTGAACGAAGCCAGCCATCTTCCAAATCACATCTGCAATCTAAACCACATTCGTATCTCAAACCACATCTGTGTTTGCATGAACCTGTCAAATTATGACACAAACCATGCATCACCACGCCTTGTTCATGCGGCGTCACCACAATAGCCCGTTGACGATGGACGGCCTAATTCGTCCATTTCCATAGAAGAGTGAAAATTGAACAACCGCCTTAGTATGTTATAAAACCTTCTACTTATCAACCTTCGATACCCACTAACTACGACAATGATCATGAAAACGTACACCACCACCTCGCCTCCTGCAAAGGAACAACAGGTTTTGTGACACTTCCTCCAAAAACACCAGCCAAAATCTAACCAAAATCCCTCCAATCCATCTATACCTCCTGATAGCACACCCCAGACGGTTGCAAATCCGCGTAACCGCATGGCGGTCCCTCGGCCGGGTGCCCCGCCGTCCGAGGGCCCTGTGCCACCGAGGCCACCGAGGGTGGGGCACCCCCACCACCATTCGCTTAGAGAGCCCTTTCCACTTTTCACCACTACCACCAACAGATCTACCATCCTCTGACCTCTTACTCAAAACAGACATTCTTCCTCACAAGACCGTTCCCTCCTAGTTACGAGCCTACGCCTGGAAGCACGTCATCACGTCAATGCACCTCCATTGGACAAACTAAAACTACGCATACCAAAAACATACAGCCGTCGAAGCTCCGCCCAAATCCACGTCACTCTAATTGACGCTGCACTGGATCTGCGGCGTACGGCTCTGGTTTCCGATTAGCCTGTAGTGCTGATGCAGGTCGCCAAAACCACCAACAAGCTTTAGGACACCAAACTAGCAAGAAATACATAAAAGGAATGGAATTTTGAAAACTCCGCCATGAATCCAAAAGACTAAAGCCTCCTGCCAGCCCTCCGGCCAAATCGGCCGTTTTGTGACCGTCGCTTAGCCTACTTGAGAGCCGTTCTTAAGCCTTGCATCTACGGTGAGGTATGGAGCCGTTTGGACGGGCCTAAAAGAGGATAATGTGCCGAAACGTAGCAGCATCGAGCCGCAAGAGGCTTCACAGCATTGGACTTGCTGTTGTAGGGTGGATGGTATTGGATTGTTGGAAACACCCCCGGTATCACCGTCTCCACCCCCGTAAGTAGTCGACCCCAAAAATGTCGTCAACCGACCCGGCAGCCCTCGAACGAGTTCCGACCCGGGGTCGACCCGAGGTCAGCCCGGCATTTTTCACATCAAAAAATCACCAAAACCAATCCTCCCCAAACCGGCCCATCGCCTCTAACCACCTTCCTTTTCTGCTTCGGGACCTCACCCCACGTGGGCTCCAAACGCGTTGGAGCCTTTCACAGCCAGACGGCACGTGAGCCAATACCCTCCCGGTGAAAAGTGATGCTGGCAAAAACAGAAAATATAATATATAAAATAATAATCACCTTCTTTTAAAAATCTCCTCTGCCTCCTCCTCTTCTTCTCCGTTTCTGCCGTTTCGTGGGGCGCTGTGCCTGGATTCCGTGGATCTGAGGAGTGTCTATCAGGTGCACATAAACTGCAGCATCTTTTCAGCACAAAACCACATAAAGCAGCTTTTCAGCCCACACGGCTCTCGACAAACGCCGTTTTTCGTCCGCTTTTCAAAATAACATTAAGGAGTCCTTCGCTAGGAAGAAGTTTCAGAATTCAGCGAAACTCAGATTCTAAGGTCAGATTCTAAAGGTCTATCGGTTTCACTATAGCCGTGCTATTGACAGATCTGCCGAAGTGGATTTTCAGGTTCCAGATATAAGAATCGGACTAAGGGATCAGAGATTATCCAAGAGCCAGAAGCCAGGAACTAAGGTTTTAACAGTTACTGCTTATCAGTGAAGCATCACATCACCATCTACACGTGAAACTGTCAGTTGAACTACACTTCCCAACACAGCACACCAACACACAAAGGACAACAAAGACAAGCCATCCGTCTTTCAAGAAACACGTCACCAACCGTTATTTCACCAACCGTTCATCCAATTAATCGGATCGAACGAACTCAATACTCAATCTACCAGCTAAGCTACCAGCTCGAAAGCTACCAGCTCAAAAGCTCAACAAAGACAAAGTCAATCTACGTCTTTTCAAGAAACACGTCACCAACACGTCACCAACCGTTGATCCACGAACCGTTCATCCAACTATATCCGGATCGAACTGACTATCAACCCACGCTACCAGCTAAGCTATCTACAACCACCAAACTACTCAAGACTACTTCATGGACGAGTGGCTAGCTTCCAACCACAGCACGCCTGGCGCCGCCACGCCCGGCCACAAGAAACTCCCCTACGAAAACGAGCAGTTCCTCATGAACGACGACGCCCATCTTCTCGAAAAGAACATGCAGCCGTTCGACCTCGACCTGATCGACTTCATCATGCCCGACGAGCTCAACCCGGGCTCCAGAGCGTACCCGCCGCTGGCGTACCCGGAAAACACCCCGGCGCTTCTCCCCAACGGACAAAACCAGCACCAGTACTCGAACCAGCCGGTGCATTTTCAGCTGCCTTTGCTTCCGGGCCAGAACGAGAAGCTGTACAACGAAGAACATCTTTATCACCGCCGCCAGCAGGCCCACCAGCACCTGTACCTGCAAAACGCTTCCGGAGTCCGTCCAGATGCCGTTTTCACGCCGTTGGTGTCTCCAGCAGTGACCCCGATGGAATCGCAGGTGAACTCCAACAAAAACCAGGGCGTGCCGATGCAAGCGACGTTTGAGCCGCTCACGCTGCCGGCGCTTAATGCCCAGCAGAGAGAAAGACCGCAAGACAGACGTAGACCGCTGCTGGCGACATTTCCGGAGGAGTACAGTGGGAACGGTGGTTCCAAGCGCAGAACGCCCCATCTGACGCCGAATTTGGCGGCAAACAAGCCGAAACGGTCGCCTTCCTTGCGCAAAACGCCCCAGGCGCCGGTTTTCGAGCAGCTTCCGGACTCGTCCTACGATGCCAGTGTAGATGGTCCAGCTAAATCGTCCGAAACGACGCCGATGCTTCCGCCAGGCAAAAGAACACCTTACGAGGGCTCCTCCGGCGGCAGCACACCGTACAAAAACCAGCCAGGCCCAGCGACGCTCATGGGATTCACCATGAACCGTTTGGCAGAACTGCAGAGCACCAACAACCTGCTGCCCAATTTGGCGCCACAAAACGGCCACCACGACGACCTGGTGTCGACCCGCTCGTCCGTGAGCGGCCACCGCACGCTGATCAAGCACGAGACGTCGCTGCTGGAGCCTTCTCCGGCGTTGGATCCGCAAAACGGTGAAGAGTCCGGCCGCAAAAGAGAAAAAGGCCCCGGCAAGAAAGCGTCGCATAAAATCGCCGAGCAGGGCCGCCGAAACAGAATGAACCAGGCCGTGCACGAGCTCGCGGGCTTGATTCCGCAGACGTACCACGACCAGGTCTCCATTCCGTCGAAAGCCACCACGATCGAGTTGGCGTCCAAGTATATCACGACGCTTGTGGCGGAGCTAGAGGAGGCCCGGGCCCGGTTGCCGCAGGACGAGCATCTGAGGAAGGACGAGAAGAAGAGGCGGTAGGATTATGGGGGTGAGGTGCTAATGTAATAGAGAATGGATTTTGGGATTCAGGGTCGGAGGGGTTCCGGCGGTGTAGAAGCAGGGGGGCTATCGTGGATGTGGGGGATTTTGACTAAAAGAATTGTTCTGATTTGTGGTGGATTCCCATGGCAAAGTGTGATTGAAGCGACTGTTGAAGCGGTGGAATGACGAGACTATAACTTTAATGCTGATCTGTGTGATCTCGACTATGATGCTTCGTTTTGTTTTTTTTTTTTTTTTGGTCTGTTCGAAGTTGTGTTAATCATCTTTTTAAATGATGAAAAAGCTTCATCCAGGTTCTCTGGTTTGCATTTCGACTTGGTTCCTTCTGTCGTGATTCCAGAGGATGTTCGATCGCAAATTATAGCCAGTGATATTCATTTTGTTCAACCAATGACTGCAAAAAAGAAGCACCTTCATCAACATCCTTAGCAAATTTTTGAATGATATTGCAACATTTCAAGCCAACTCCGTTCGAATAATTTTGGAGTCAAGGTTAACCACCATCTGGATGTTTAGGGACGAGGAGGATCTTGAACAGGCATTTCTCGTTTCCAGAGTCCTGTTGGTCTCTACAACGCCGTTGTCATTGTTTTGAAAGAATCAGAGAAATTCCTCCTTTTGCTTTGTTGAAATTTTGACGAGATCGTGAAAATGGGAATATCAAACCAGGAGAAGTGACCAAAGCCAGCTACGAGTTGGCTGGAATTTTTATCGATACGAATCTTTAAGTCGAGATGCTTATTTGGAGCTTCTTGGCCCGTTCCAATGACAAAATGACGCTGATTTAGTTCGTCACTGAAGCCATTCTACTGATTTATGATAATGAACGGCATTCTGTGGAGCTTAATGAACCACTACACCGATTATGACGGATGATAATTTTACTGGACGCTGTGAAAATTCGAATTGTGCAAAAATTTCCCAAACATCTTCAAAATTCGGCAGCTTGAACCCTGACATAATAATTACCCACCCACCGTTTCGAAGCAATATAAAGAGAAACGCTCCGGGTACCTCAACCTTTTTTTCCAAAATGGAACCGGGTCTTATAGGTGTTATCACTTTGTTGAGTTTTATAGGTGCTATTTGTCTAATTGGTAGCTGCTTCGCCATTCTAGATGAACCAAAGGAGAGAACTGTGCCCGTACAAGCTGCTGATAACAATCCACAAGCTGTTAACAATCCACAAGCTGTTAACAATCCACAAGCTGCTGATAATCCACAAGCTGCTCAGGATGCTCCTAATAATCAAGAAACTGCAATTGTAGAGGAAGTTCCTGAGAATACTGCTCCAGAGGATACTGCAACTTCAGTCCACGAAAGCATCCCTCTTGAAGATTTATCATCCACATCGACCGTTGAAGGTATGAACTCAAACGCCTCTGTGGAGACGCCGTTGCCTCTATATCAAAGCGACGTTTTGCCCCGGTATAGTGAGGTTGAGTTTGATAGTTAGGGGATTTTTTGCTTGATATGTGGTTGATGGCTTTTCAGCTACGATTACGAAATGATAGAACTTCAAATCGAAATGCTTCTTTGAGGCTCCTTGTTTCGTTCAATGATAAGTTGAGGCTATGACTGAATCCATTATTGAAGATATACTGCAGATTTTTGTATGAGAATCCTGTTGGCATTTCTGTGGAGTTCAATGAACCGCTTCGGAAGAATGGAGAACAAACCATGACAGAGAAGACCAGGTTCGATTTAAGAATTGGGAGAAGAGGAGATTCGATCAAAGAATTAGCCAAACCTCAAATGAGATGAAATGGTGACTATAATTGTCTTTTTCTTTTTTTGTTTAAGTCATCTGATTAAACGGAGAACACTATTGAATATTTGAAGGATGTCTAAACTTACATGGTTGTACATTTGAGGCACATTTGGACTCCATTTTGGACGCTCCACTAATTCAGTATTGGGGACATCTTGCTATCTTCCAAAAACTCCAAACGGCATTTCGTTAATGCTCAGTGAACCAATGCACCGATTATAATAATTTAACTGAACGCTGGGAAAACTCTAATCAGCAAAAATTTCCAGAACGTCTCCCGCTTAAAAATTCGGCATTTCCAATCATGACATACTAATAATATTCGAGCCACCGTCGAAATATAAAGAGAACATCTCCAGGCACCTCAAAGCCTTTTCTCAAAAATGGATGGGAATATAATATTTGTGGTCTGTTTTGGGGGTGTTGTTCTTGCTATTTCTCTTGTTTCTATGTGCTGGGAGTTCGTCGTAAAACCTGCTAGAATTCGGAAGAAGAGAAACCCAGACAATCCACAAGCTGTTCACGAGAATACTGCTCCACAGGATGCTGCTACTTCGGTCCACGAGAGTATAGCTCTTGAAGATTTATCAACTACATCGACCGGCGATCTGACTAACGCCTCTATTGTGACGCCGTTGCCTCTATATCAAAGTGACATTTTGCCCCAATATAGTGAGGTTGGATTTGACGGTTAGGGGGTTGTGGTGGTTGTGAGCTGATGAAGTGGGCAGAGAGATATATGAGTTGGTAATAGAGACACATGGTTGAGTTATAGGTCCTTTTCGGTTGAGATGTAGTTAAGGATTGGAGTATTTGAGGAAGGCTTTTGATAGAGTTGGATATTGGACCCGAACTGTTACAGTTTTAATACAAATTAAACGAGTTTCACGTAAAGGCCACCTTATTTCTCAGGCGTATGATCCCCGAATAGAGCCCCATTGATTTCTGTTTCATCTTAATGTGCCTCTTCGATTTCATAAAACTAAAGGCTTGCGGAACTTTGACTACTTGAATTTGATTTGTTATTCCAGCTATAACAGCTTTTTCTCTCGCTTGCTCGAAATGTATCTATTTATCAAAATAGAGCTACCGAAAAGCCAGCCTCGAATTCAGGACCCTTGAAGTAAGCGTGGTCTTTGTGAGTTTGTAGGAAGAGTCATCACGCTTACCTTATTGTGCTGGCGATACGACGGAGCCACCCAGTTTCAGAATTTCAGTTTATCTAATGGCCAGAGTGTCAAAATAAAATAATAATAGAAAAGAAAGTAATCGAACATCAGGCAAGTGTGTGGTACTACAGAAACTCAATAAGATGTTTGAACCTTACTACATTCACATCCCTACGACGACTAAACGCTTCTCCAAAAGCCGACCCTAGACCAACCTCTTCCCCACTAAAATCCCAAAAACTCACCAAATCATAACCCTCCTGCTCCCATCACATATCCCAAAACGGAACATCTTTAGATAAGCGACCTCATGACATCAACTACAATTACCAAATCCACCGACCAAACCGTGACACCTCATTCTCCAATCGCCTATTCCCTTCAATTCCTTCATTTTCAGAAACTCCAACGACCTTCCCACGAGCGTGACCATGCCCTGGTCATCCACCTCACCTTCCTCAATAATTTCACAAACGGAAGGTCCACCAGAACAAGATAAATACGCCCGAATTCCCCCAAACCAATTTTCCCTTCTCTACCACATTCTGGCCCCCCGTTCTGACCCACCACGTTAGAACCCTCTGTCTCTGATCAATTTATTGCTTCACAGACCACAAAACTACCAAAGCTACTACAAGTACTACCGAATTAACTGAAAAATGTGTTTCCAGTGTCACGAAATCAACGGCAGCTTCTTCCCCGCTGTCATTTTCAACGCTACTTTTGACGCCTCCGGTTTGATAGAAATCGACCACGGTGCCAACCATACTCTGCTTGAGTGGAAAAAGGGCCAATTCGAACAAATGAAGGCCTTGACCAAGCAAGCCAAATCTGACGATTCTGCCCGCAGAAACGCCCAGGCTCTCTATGAAACGAAGCTTCAGGAGTACCGTCTCGGCCATTGTCCATCCTGGGATGAGGAAGTGGAATTTGATGAAGTCGAAGCCGTTTTAGAGACTCTGAAGCAGGATACTAAGGAGGAAGAGAAGCATGAGGAGGAAGAAAAGCATGAGGAGGAGAATGAAGAAAAAAATGAAGAAACCTCCGATTCTGATGCCTCTTCTTCCTCTTCTTCCTCCTCTTCCTCTTCCTCTGAGGCCCCAGTGGAGTCTTCCAACAACACCTCCCCAGCTTCCTCGCCAGTATCCAAAGCCGCTGTTTTGGCCATCTTCGAGACCAAGACGGAGACCACAGAACCCGCTTTTGAAGAGCTTTCTGAAGTCACTAACACCCCAAAATTGTCCGATGACGAGCTTTTTGAAAGCCTTGAAGAGCTGTACAGCGAGTTCAAGAAGGCCTACGCAGCTTCCCATGAAGCTCCATTTTCAACTACTTCCTCCTATGAAAATGCTTCTTCAGCTAAAATCTCCGCACCTTCCCCCGGCTCCCTTCCCCTGGGCCACGGCTGGCTCTACAACAACGACATCTTCACCATTCCTGAGGAAGACGAGCCTGAGGAGATTTCACAAACCGATATGACCACTTCTCTTTTCACCTGGACCGTGGTTCCGGGATCAGATTTGCCCCGCTGTGAGCCAAAGCAAACACGGTTTCCAATTCATGAGTCTGTTCAGAGGCTCTCTTCTGGAGACTGTGAAGTTCTGGAGGTTTCACAATCTGAGACCTTGCAAGCCAATTCGAACCAGGACTGTTCCCAAAATCCTGCCTTTTTCCAGAAGCCCACTTGTTCTGAGCATCCGATTATGGAGAAATATCAGAATTCCCCGGCTTCAGCAAACCCGCTCTACTGTCTAGAGGACTTCCCCTTCTTTAGACACGTTTTGGCGCAGAAGCCCAGGAAAAGCTTTCTTCCGGGCGACTTTTTCAAGTTTCGGGAACTCTGCTACCCGAAGGAGGCTGCCACTTTTTTGCCCGGTGAATGCTTCCGGCTCTGGTCCTTGAGGACTACCAGAAGAGGTCCTCGGAGACTGAGAAGACGTGCTAGAGCTAAGGTGACTTAAGTCGCTCTGCCGAGAAAAGAAAAATGATAAAAATAAGAAAAAAAAAAAAAAACTGTACTATATTAATAAACTAAATTGAAATACGTGGCGTAGGAGTAGTTGGTGGTATGTTTGAGATGGACATTGGTGCGAGGTATCCCAGGGTGTTGATGAGCTACAGGGAGCCTATGAATGTACGGAGTTTTTCAAATATCCTTGATTTTTATCTAAATGATAAGCCAGGGTAAGAAGGACAAAATTGCTAAAAACAATGAGTTGTTGATATCGCTTACCCTGTATTGTCTCATATAGACAAGGGCACCTGTACTATTCGCTGAACACGGCGAAGCAGATTCGTCTTCTTGAATAGATTGATATACGTTTTCTTCTCAAGCTAATGAGACAGAGTTAGCGATATAAATGACACCAAAAGGAAGCTGATGTACCTTGTTTAGTTCCATTTTCGCTTCTCTCACACTAAGACCCTTACGAGCTGAATCGTGTAGTTTTGCCAGACACTTCATCACAAGTTGAGTCTCTTTTTATCATGCCACAGCTTTTACAACTAGCTTTAAACTGACAAATCCGCTGAATAATGAGTACATTGAGATGACCATGTGAGACGAGATATGAGAAGTCCTCCTGAGTCGGGAAAAAGAGAAGCTCTCTCAAAAATTACAGCGTATTTCTAGCAGCCCTAAATCATCAAGCACCCTTATTACAAGCTTCTAAAAACACCTTCTTGTTGGTTTTCTGGCAGGCTTTCGGTTGCATTTTTTGATGTTTGAAATCCGCGGTTACAGACTGAAACCTGGCTTGAAACTTTCAGCACACATACTTTTTGCTCTAAAGTTACCATAAAGCTAAAAACATTTATGTTTCAAGCTTTCCTTCACCCAAAGCTATGCTTGATATATTTTACCAGCACTTATTGTCTTTCATAAGATTGGTTTCGTGGTCTAGTTGGTTATGGCATCTGCTTAACACGCAGAACGTCCCCAGTTCGATCCTGGGCGAAATCACTCTTCTTTTTTTTTTTTTTTGGAGGCATTACATCTTGGCTGGATTAAGGCTAATTTGTTTTTTATTGTGTAGTGCAGCCTCATCAAGCTATCCACTTGACCCCACTGAACCGTCTACTCAGACTTATAAGTAATGCAATGTGTTGGTATCTATATACATGGACGGCACCAAACTGGATCGAAAATCCGTTATCAAGATCCGTCTCCTTAAAATCTAAAAGCAATTCTCTGGATTCAACCACCCCAGATCATCTATCACCTTCTCAGCCAAAAACGAACCACAATTCACTTCCATGATTCACCACAACCCACTTCCATGGAACCATCACAATCCACTTCCATGGATTATCGTCTGCCACCTTCATCTTCAAATCTCAACCTCACTATCAACTTCACCATCAAGGCTACTTCTCCTTCAGAAACTTGCCCTTCTTGCCCTTGGGCAACGCCTTGGTCTGGTTTTTCGCTGCACCCTTGACGTAATTCGTGGCCTTGCCCACGTCCTCCTTGAACTCCTTCGCTCCAAGCTTCAACTGCCAGAACGGACCGTGCTGCTTCCGCAACTTCTGCTTCTTTCTCTTCACCTCGCGGTTCACTATGCCAATCTGCTCATCGTACGGAATACCAGCTTCGGCTTCTGCAATCGTCTCCTTGCCGAAAAGCAAGTCAAACACACGCCCGTCCGACCAGAAAAAGCCCCTTCTGTCGACGACCCACGACTTCTTGGTGGTCTCCTCCTTCAACACGAAAAAGAACAACGACTTGTCGGCAGTGCCGTAGAAACCCTTGCCGGTCCACACACGGGCATGGTGCTTTCTCGTTAAATTACGCAAGGGCACCGTGTAGACAGGCGACGGTCTGCCGGGCAACAACGGGTACGAAGTGAACTTGATGTGCTCCACCGGACCAGGAAGATACCACATTCTCCTGATAAGCCTGGTGGGGAACATGGCCGTCTGGTACGCCATAAAAAGCATCACGGCGCCCATGATGCCATATTTCCCGACCAGAACAACCCACTCTCGTTTCCTCAAGGCCTCTGCAAGCTCTTTTTCGTTCTCCTCGTAGTCCTTGTTGGCCTGGTACACGGCCCATTCGAGCAAAACACACCCGTACACGGTGAACACGACGGCGCAGCAGAAACACGCCAAAAAGTAGAGTCTGTGGGGCTCCAGCTCGTATAAAAGCTCCGGTTGGGTCTTGTTTTTCAAAATCAGAATCACCTGGCGAAACGACATGTTGGGTCCGACCCGGGGCACGCAGGGACGCGGAAGAAGCGTCGGCACGTTCTCCTTGCCGAGCGGGAACATGGGGATCCGCTCCTTCAAGTCGTTTTTCTGGTCGCCTTCTCCAGGAATGTGCTGCTTCAAGTGTTTCCACTCGCCTTGCGAAGGGAGGCTTTTTTTCGGGTCAAAGTCTTGTGGGAGGTTGGAAAGGCGGCGGAGGAGGGCCGCCGGGGCGATTTTCGGCATCCGCCGGGCCGGTATTAGTGTGGTTCTGGAAAGAAAGAGCATGTAGTGGGTGCGAAATTTGGTGATGGTGGAGTTGAAAGTCGCGATGTGGGGTGGATGGGTATGGGTTACTGGGAGATGGATGGGTTTTTGAATCTGGGGGTTTTGGTTAGTAGAATTGATAGAGAGTGATTGAGGTGTATACTTTCTGTGATTCATGAAGTTTCTTTACTTGTTTCGTAGAGTTGGGCTCGATGGGAAGGTCTGGATGCGATAGTGAAGCAGTGCACGATGTGGTGATAGAGGTATTCCATGACAGTGAAAGAAGGGAATGGCTCACAATATGCTTTCTTTGAGATATAAAAAGAGCACATCATGCACTGAAAAGAAGGGAATGGCTCACAATATGCTTCCTTTGAGATATAAAAAGCCACCTCTGGGCTTCGAGTCGACATTTCAGGCAGTTGGGTTAATGGAACTTTGGCTGTTGAAGGTTGTGATTGATAACAGAGAGTCAGTTAAGTACAGCGTCAGGCGTCCGCTCGTCTTTTCTTGAACCATCATTCGCTAGCTCTTCGTTAAACTCGTAGTTCTCCAATCGATTGTTCTTCAAATTGACTGTTCTTCAAATCGTTGTTCTTCAGTTCATGCGAGTTATCTTTTGCGAACTTAGCTATTCGGAACCATCTGACAAAAAGAGCCCTATAGAAAGTAGCTCAACTGCGAATTCCACAATTTGGTGTGGGCCTATATGAGACGAATCAAGAAAGGGCTCGATTTCGGACCACCCTTTCCTGAAATCCCAAAAGTTCCAGGCTCTAGTGAGGATCCCAAGAGTCACACAACAGCTGAATATGACATCAATCGAACTGGGTTCGCTCCGAACGTGCTTGGAAAAGATAGCCAAGGCCACCAACATGAGAGTTATGGTGACATAAAACATAAACTGCAACGGCTGAAATAAAAGAGCGCACCTCTCTGGTGAAGACAACCAAGTATAGTACAGTAGTTTTCACCTTCTGATAAAAAGCAGTTGCATACATTTTCTTCGATACTAGGAGTCCCACTTCATCTAAGGGTGGCGTAGGTTGGTTGATCTTTCATATCACATGGTACTTCATTAGTCCAACTCTTCTCCAAAGGAATTCTTCTGGCTGTTGCATATTTTAGAACAGGCTGTATGGGAATTCGTTTACGTTGTAAATGCCCTTCATCTTAACAATTGACCATAACAGTCAAGGATGTGTTTGTCTGACGATCCGTGAAACCCAAACTATTTTCAGCATCGATGCCTAGCTTCTCTTAGATTGAGAAGCCCCCACTTTCTTTTCAGCTTTTTGAGACGCAGAAACTATCACAGTGATGGTACTTCCGAATAGAATCAAGACGTTTGCCACAAAGCAAAAGAGAAGTGGAGGTGCCTGCCAGCTCACAAAAAATGGGTCTAAGTGGTACCAGTCTTCTTCCAAAATCACAATGGCGCCTACTATGCCACATCCGTTGAAGAGCGAAAGTGCAGATAACCAGACAAGGTTCTTGTTGGTGCCGTAGAGCAAGCAGAAGCTGAGTATCAGCAATTCTATCAACAGAAGCGCTTTGATGACGTGCAAGAAAGGCGTGAAAAGATGGTCTGGACGGTTGATTCGACCATTGAAGGTCAATTTTGAACCACGACTCTCTACATCCAACTTCACCTTGCCCAACGTGTCGAGAAACTCAATTTTGAAGGCACTGGGGTCCTCCATTTTGTTATAGTCTGCGATTTGAAGAGCAATGTCACTCATAAAGCTCTCAAACGCGTTGAAACCAGGATAACAAACAACAGTATCGTCGCTGGTTCGACAAAACCCTTGAAACCCTTGAAGTGTCTGCGTGTACGTAGCATGAGGCCATGTTTCTGGAACCAAAGAAGCGAGATCTTTGGTTGACCCTTTGTTGACGCGTTATAATGAGGCAAGACTGTGGTGCAATTGAAAAAGGAGGGAATTGTCCGCCTCTGCGGTAACGATGCCAATATCTCCTATAGGTGAGAATAGGAGTAAAAGCCTGAAAAGACAGTAGGTAAGGAGCAATGGCTTGGCTATGTTCGGGAGGCTTATCCAGGGTGCCCCATGCTTTGGGTTTTTGTTAAGTTCTGATGAATTGGTATCACACTTTGGCTCATATTCAGAGCTCTTGAATGCATTCCAATTTTTCTCGTCTATTTCCATGGTTGTATGTTGATAGTGTGTGGTTTGGGTAAATTTGACAGTTGATGCGGCTGCACCGTTATCAGTCTTGTGTGGAGGATTATCAAAGTGCCGGTCATTGGAAACTCCAGGGTTCTAAGTATTTTCTATGGCGGTGGGAAAATTCACTGAAATTATCGTGCTCAATGGACACAAAATTGAAAATTATTTTAAGATGTGCCTTCTTTCTCATTCTTTCGGATTCGATTAGCCGTTTTCGATCGAGAAGCTGCCCCTCTGATCACTCTAGTGCGTACACTAGCAACCGTTAACACAGCCAAGGATCCTGCCAAACCTATATATGCTGCAATACAGGTGTACAGTTCCAGAGGCGCCAGCCAATGGGTTAGAAGTGGCTGCAAATTGCTCCAGTCCGTCTTGAAACCATCCACCAGGCTGAACATGTAGCAGACCAGCAACATTGAAATAATTGACGGAACGAAAAGATCACACGGGTTGCTGAATGTGCGCAAGGGGGCAAGTATTGCCGCAACTTCATAGATCACAACAGCGATAAGGACAGGTAAAACGCCGTTTGAACTGTCCCTGATATCTAGCCCCAGTTTCATCAACTTGAGAAAGTTGTCTTTGAAGGCAGACAGACAGTATATTCCGTTGTACTCTGCTATCTGGAGAGCAATGTCGTGCATGAAAAGCTCGACGGTGTTGGTACCATAGTAGCACACGGTTCTGGAGCCATCGTTTGTTCTGCAGAGCCCATTGAAACCCTGTTTGTATACCGCATGAGGCCATTTCTCCGGAAGCAGAAATTGGTCATTTTCAGCTGAACCCGCCTTTTCAATGGCATTGTTTATCTGGGTGAGTATGGATCTATCCACCTCTGCAGTGAAGAGGGCAGTATTGACAATGGGAAATAGCAAGAAGCCAAGTTTGATGAGTGTGTACGCAAAGGCGAAGGATAAAATGCCAGATTGCGTAGTACTGTTGATATTGATCAGTGCTAGCCAGGGTGTTGGAGGTTCTGCTTTTGTAGCGGGATCGGATTGGTTATGGGCATTTGGGGATGGGTCGTTTTGGGATGCCGCAGATTTCTCCTCTATCCTATCTTGCGTGTTCATGGGATTGTGTTTTTTTGAATCGTCAGCAGCTGTTAAGGAAGAAAAGAGGTGGAACTGTCGGTGAGATTACCGGTTATGTGCTTGTGTGGAGGAAGAGTCGTCTTATCAAGGACACTCAGATTTTTTTATGAAGACGACTTCAGGAAAAAGTTGGGATTTAAACTATGGTTTCGATTTCCTCACATTGAGAAAAGTTGGTTGTGGTTTGGATGAGATGATGGTGGTGTTGATGGTGTTGATGCATGTACCGATTCAGCAAGGCCCTACGTGCTCTACATTGTGATTTTATGATTTTATGATTTTATTATATTCACTTTTGATGAATTTGCCTTCACATGTAATCTTAAAAGTTTTCTTCTGATCTTTGGTGAAGTTGTATGGAAAGTCCCCTACGTACCGTGACTTCTTACTGTGGCTGCGAAAACAGAAGAAACAGACGAAACTCGAAAAGACTACCAAAAATCCAAAATCTCGTTGATTTTTATAAAACAGGAAGTACGGTGGCTGTTGTCACTAGAAGCAGCCTTAAGGTCGATGAGGCCCTAGCAGGCTATGTTACAGCTTCCATACCTTCAATCATAGAAATCACAGATATGTACTCCACAGACTCTCCAATAACTATCCATAGAAGGCCATTAGAGGCCATAGTAAGTCGCTTTTTGACAAACTGGAGATATGCCTTTGGAAAAAATCCAAAAAGGGAACATCGAGGTACTCATATGTCTCCATTGGCTCCACCATGGAACACCCTACCTTCACCTTCACACACCCAAACAAAAAACACCATTCCTAACCTTTTCCACCTGAAAGCACTCCCAATGGCAATACGACAATAAAGCAATTGGTAACCCACCCCGGTCTCCATCCATGCCTCCCTCCAACTTCCATAGACCATAACCTCAATCACAGTCCACCCTCCACCAAATCATCCATTGCAACGTTGCATTGAACCAACAACCTCAACCATATGCTCCGAAATCTTGGAAACATAGAGCACTTCAAGTCGAAGCATTCATCCCACTGTACATCAATAGTACACATGTGTTGATATCTATCCAGTATTCGGATAAAGACGCCAGTGGAATTCAGATCGGAAAACCACAACCAGAGTATTAAACTCTTCCCAGTCAAGAATTAAACCACAAAACTCCCCAATCCAGCCACCCTACCTCGCCTTCAGCTCCGCTCGCTTCAACATCACAGGCCTCTGCCCCACATACTTCCCGTTCATCTCCTTGAACGCCTTGAGATAGTCTTCAGCTTTGCCAAACGCCACAAACCCGTACCCCTTGTTCTCGCCCTGGCGGTCCTGAACCACGCGGGCTTTGCTCAAACTGGGGTATTTGGAAAAAGCTGCCAGGAGAATCGAGTCTGTGGCATCGGGACCGAGGTTGCCGACGAAAAGACGGAAATGCTTCGGGTTCCAGCCTTCGTGCTGGGCCAGGGCCGTCACGTGACCTTTTTTCCGGCTGTGGAGGTACTGGTCTGGCCGTTTTCCTGCTGCTGCTCGTCGGTCCAGCGATTTGCTCATGGAGGTGTAGATGGTGTATCTCGCAGTGCGGGAGGGTCTTTAAGAGTCGAAAATGGGAAATTGATGAGAGTGGAAGAGGAGCAAAATTTGGAGATTCGAGAGGGTTTAGAATTAGTTTTTTGTGGTAATTCTATAGAAATATGGTGTTTTGTTAGGCAAGGCTTGGGTGAGATGGACAGGTAGGGTTGGGTAGGGCAGGTAGGGTTGGACAGTAAGGTTGATTGATGGGAGTCAGGAATTGCTTATGGACTCAGTGGAAGTGTTTAAACGGACGGAAAACCTTTTTATTCTTGGACTTGGAGTATTGGATTTATTTGATGGTATGGTGAAGCTGAAGTAAGTGTGATGAGCATTGATATGAAGCACCTCTTGCTTTCTCGAGCCGTGAATTCGATTCAAGGACACATTCGAGTCAGAGGTAGTCCTTGCTCCTTAAATATCCAGATCTTTAATTTGACCTCAAAGTCAGACTTCAGACTTTGGTTTAGGGCTATCGCAATGGCTGCAAATGGGCATATTCACATAATGCTGACCAAGTTAAGGTGATCCTGGAGTTTATAAACTTGTTTCACTTAGAATTCAACCAAATTGATGGAATATACTGATTCTACTGTGTTTAAAGAGTCTGTGTTCGGCTTACTAATGAGCTTGAGAGTGGTTTTCACCAATTGAGACCAATTGTGCTACACGAAAAGAAAAAAGTTTCGGTCATTTTCAAATTCATACCACAATTCATGCATATTTCATTCATTAAGCTTTAATCCGACTATTTTTTCAAGAGAAACTGGCTCAATGCTCCCTTCACTGTGCATCTCACTCTCGAAACTCATAAACCTTGAACTTCTCTACATGTTTTTCGCTTTTCGTTTGGCTTATTCTCGTGACAATATCACCACAAACACTTACATTTACAATCTAAAACTTCTGAATGCTTCATATATGGCTATACCCTCGCATCCTGTACTGGTGCCTCCTGGGGGTCCGCACAGGCCTATGTAGGAGCGCATCGCGACATCAACATTTTCCACCTCATCCGCAACTCCAGCTTTCAAACCCATGTTCATACTATCGGAGCTCTCGGACCTCGTGCGTGTGCCGCCACCGTCGTTCAACATCCCGACGCCGGTCGCTCTCAAGGATGAGCTCCACAAGAAGTACGCCAACAAGGTCATCTCCAACGTGGGACTCGCCGTGTCGGTGTGGGACATTCTGGAGATCAAGGACGGTCTCCTAAAACCCGGCGACGGCGGAGCCTACGTGGAAACACAATTCCGTATGATCGTGTGGAAACCGTTCGTAGGCGAAATCTTGACCGGCTGGGTCCAAGAGTGCACTGCCGAGGGCATCAAGGTACGCATGGACTTTTTCAACGACATCTTCATCCCCAAGGACTACTTGTTCGAGGGCTGCGTGTTTCGGCCGGCCGAGCGGGCGTGGGTCTGGCAGCCGGACGCCGACACCGACTTGTACATTGACGTGAACGAACAGGTTCGATTCCGCGTTGAAGAGGAGGTGTTTGCCAACATCAAGCCCAAGTCGCTGGCTGAGGCATTGGGCCTCGAAACCGACCGGGCGCCTCCGTACGCCTTGGTGGCGTCCTGTCAAACCGACGGCATGGGCTGTGTCTCGTGGTGGGACTAGCTCCATGCACAAATGTATGGCTTCTTTTAATTGTATTGCATGTACTGCGAGGTCGACGAGAACTTGAGGTTGCCCTTGATGACCTTGTCCACAGCCTTGAGGAAATCCTTCTCGGTGGCAACCTTCCGGCGGGCTCTGATGGCAAACATACCGGCCTCAGTGCACACGGAACGCAACTCGGCACCGGTGGCGTTGGGACACAATCTCGAAATCAACTCCCAACGGATCTCCTTGTCACAACTCATAGTCTTGGCGTGGATACGGAAGATGTTGGCTCTGCCTTCCAAGTCGGGAAGACTGAACTCCACCTTACGGTCGATACGACCAGGACGCAACAAGGCTGGGTCCAACGTGTTGGGTCTGTTAGTGGCAAACATGACCTTGATGTTACCTCTAGGGTCGAAACCGTCCAACTGTGTGATCAACTCCAACATGGTTCTCTGCACCTCGTTGTCGCCACCAGCACCGTCGTCGAAACGGGCTCCACCAATAGCATCAACTTCATCGAAGAAAATAATACACGCTTTCTTTGTTCTAGCCATCTCGAAGAGCTCACGAACCATACGGGCACCTTCACCCACGTATTTCTGCACCAACTCTGAGCCAATCACACGAATGAATGTAGCGTCGGTTCTGTTGGCAACAGCACGGGCACAAAGCGTCTTACCGGTACCGGGAGGACCGTACAAAAGAATACCCTTGGGTGGGTCGATTCCCAACTTGACAAATCTCTCTGGAGACAAGAGAGGAAGCTCCACAACCTCTCTAAGCTTCTCAATCTGTTCTTTGCAGCCACCAACGTCACCGTATGTAACATCAGGCTTCTCTTCGACGGTCATCATCGTCACCGAAGGGTCGATTCTTGGAGGAAGCGGCAACTGGATCTCGTACTTTTGTCTGTCCACACCAACTCTCATGCCTTCTTCGATATCCGTAGGCGACACTCTTTCGCCCAAACCAACGACGAACTTGGCAATCTGCTTGATGTTGATGACGTATTTGCTCTTGTTGTCGGCATTGGCCAACATCCCCACTGCTGGCGTTGGGTTTGTGGCTTCTATGATTTTGGTACAACGAGCAACCTGTAAAGGCTGTTCCTGCGACATTCTCTGCTTGTCGCCCATGACATCCCATAAATGAGGAGCACTGAGTCCCGTGTCACTCTCCTTGATGCCGATGTTCTCCTTGATTCTGTCCTCAATGTCCTTGAGGTCCTTTTCGATCTGTTTTAACGAATTGGCGTATGGGGCGGCGCCGTAGGTTTTGAGAACCTGGATGTCTCCCTCGGAAAGAGGAACGATGTTCTCAGGAGCGGCGTCCTCGTCCTCGTTAGGTACGTATTTGTCCCAGTCAGCTTTTGGTGGCATGGTTATGGTTTAGTGAGTGAGTAGCACTGGTGAGACTTAAAGTGGCGAGGGTCGTGCGAAGGTCAAAAAGACGGTGTCGGCCAGGAGGAGCCGGAGGCGGGTAGGGGGAGGGTAAGTGATCTGGTTTGAGCGTTTTTGAAGACTGTTTTGAGAAAAAGAATCTTTTCTGTTAGTGTGGATTGGAGGTGCTTTGTACTGCCAGGTTGGCTGCGAAACTGCGGACATGGCTGCGAAAGTACTTGCTGGTGAGCAAGGCCGTCAATTGGGATTCTGGATGTTTTGTTCGAAAAAAGTCAAATAGTATTGATGACGATAGATCTTTCGGTTTTTGGCTCATTTGTGAATCCGCGTAGTAAACACTTGGCTGAGCGTACGATATGGATGTTAGTGGTTGTGTAAGTTCGACGCGAAGAGTTGAAGCTGGATATCTTGAAACAAAAAGTTGGAAGGAGCCAGATCTG